GATGCTTCGAGTCAACCTCTGGCCAAAAATGAAGGCTTCCAGTGCATGACAGTTCTTTGAACGTTCTTGTATAGGATCCGAAGTCCAGGGCCGATGCAGTATGCGTCATCGCCATCTCAAGCCCACCCTCCCGCCCGACCCGCTTCAGATGGGGGGCGACTCCTGTTTTCCGAACGGCACATGTCCAAAGGATTGCGTGCCGATGGAGACGTCAGATGCTTCGAGTCAACCTCTGGCCACAAATGAAGGCTTCCGGTGCAATAATATACTATAACATACGCTGTTTCCTTTTTGTTGCCCTTTAGCTTCGGGAGGGAGGGCAGACAAGGTCGGTGGGTTCCCCGCACGAGAAAGGAAGGAACTCCTGCGCGAACCCCCTGGCAAAACTGTGAGAATCAGGGGGCCTGCACCTAACACAAAGAGCCAATCCTACATCAGAGGGGCCTAGCAGAATGGTGTAGGGGGGAGGGCAAGACCGTTATTACCATTACCATTACATGGTCCCAAGGAACTCAAAACGCCCCCGCCCCGGCTATTTGGGCGCAAAACTCGAGGTACGGGCCGCTGTGAGGTTTGGCGGCGTCCGATCGCGGCGAGCCTTGAGCTCGCGAACTTCACTTGAGTCTTGGTCAAACTAGGTCTGATGAGGTTTAAGACTTAGGGTGTAGTGATGTTTAGACGGTGTTTAGTGCTCATGCTTTTGGGTTTTTTTTCGTTTCGTGGCCTTCTGGGTTCTCGAGGCTTGAGGGTTTGGGCTTCCGCGTGTACGATTTGGGGCTGAGGACTTCCTGTTTCTGGCAAACTGGCAGGAGCCGGACACAACGTGTGAAAATGAGGCTTCCTCTGTACCACGAGTAAGGAAAGCACACTGTTGTTTCGGACACACCCAAAACGGCTCCCCGAGGCCTGAACACAGAATCCCAAGGAGGCCACTCGCAAACCGTGTTGCTGCCATGAGCGCCCCCCCCCCGCGCAACCCGAAGTCCCGCATCCATGTTTGCGATTCCATCGGCCGAGGCCAAGCCTACTCTCCACATGGCTTGTCGTTACCGCTCTTCACCGAAAAGGAGCCAATCATATTGCCATGAGGACAGTCAGCCAAAAACGTCGATGACGTTTTGAGGCCCTTTCACTAGGCATGGCGGGCTCAGTGAAGAGAAGAGGTCTCCTCGAGTTTAGAATTTGATCAGCTGTCCATAGAGTGCGGGACAGTCTCAATGACAGCAGCGACCGCGGCTTGATGTAGTCGAGCAGGACAGCATGCTTGTGCAGAGAAACAGCTGAATTCATGTTGTATAGGGGGAGCTGCACGGTGGGAAGGGTAGCCAGGGTTGCACAATGCAGCGCTTGGCTATGCCGATGCTCGATGGAGCATCTGGCGCAACCGTTCCCTCTTGGAGTGCAGTCACTTTCGTACCACGACCAGCAAAGGACTCCTGAAGAGCTTTCCATAGCCGAAAAGGAGAAGGTGCGAGGCACAGGAGATACCTTCGCTTCGGTTCGGGTTTGGTGGGCTGAAAGAGGCTAAGGCTTGTTTGGTCAAGCATCGTCTTTCGCTGGGTCGTACTGAACGTGATCAGCTCCTGTTACAGACGCATGAACCCCTCGTGTCCTGTACTGTACAGAGTACATATCTAAAGCAGTCGTTCAGTCTTTGAGCCCACGAGCTCATGACGGGACGGCTTCTTGCTGCTGCAGTGATGTGGCCATACAGATAAACGGCCAGCAGCTTCTGATTCTGATCATTTCCCGTGAGCCAAAGCCAGTGTTCACCGAGGAACATCATCAGCTTCTAGAGCAATGACGCCACCCGAGCGCATTAACCTGGCTCAAGCGGCCTACTGCTCCAACAGCATCGCCCCGAAGGGAGCGTCGGTTGCTGCAGGGAAGAATGCCGGCATAGCCAGGCCAGAAACGGGACCGTATTTCGTTGGTGCGTCGGGTGGGTGCGGGGCGGCAAGAGCACAGGATTGGGCATGGACTCTCGTGAAGCTCCGATGAGAAAGTTGAAGTAGAGTCTTTCATGAATAGCAAGCTGAGTTGTGGAAGCTCCACTACAGTATCGTGCAACTTCTGAATTTGGCAGTACAGTGTGAGCTTCAATTGAATTATCCGTCTTTCTTAGCCAATGTCCACACGATGGCTGCGCCGGTGCTGGGCACCTCGGCTACATCGCCTTCCAAGACGCCGAGAAAGGGCATTCTGCAAGGTGATCTTCGCATGTTTGCATCAGGTGGTGGTCGGTTGATTAGAGGTTATAACATCAGGCAGCTATGCAGGCGATTGCGGATGCAACAGCAACTTAGCAGGAACGTGAAACTTCCCATGACAGACTAAATGGACTGAGTGAGCTTCACTGTCCCATGTGCCAGGACAGGGCAAAAGCCGCACTCGCCGGAACTCAGTGCTGCTGTGGCAGAAGGGCTTTGCCAAAGTCAAGAACGAGCTGGAAAGCGCCCGGGCTCACTAACACATGTGGGAATCAGCCTTCACATGTGCATGCAACAGGCTAAATCCTTCAGGAGACAGGCTGTTACAACTCAGGCGGACTTCGGCCAGTCCGAACGCGTTCCCGTGGGCAGACCAAGTCTGGCCCCTCGGCCGAAATGTGGCATCGGACGCTGTCAGTAAACAGTGTTGAAGGAGCAAACAGTGAGAACGAAAAAGGAGCAGCAACAGGCGGAGGATGAGGAGAAGAACAGCAGGGAAGGTGTTGAGTGCAGGTTGCAGTAGGAGTAGCAGTCGCAGTCGCAGTCGCAGTCGCAGTCGCAGTAGCAGTAGTAATAGCAGTAGCAG